AACCGGAAGCCTGTGTTACCAAGCGCCAGAGCGCTAGCCACTCGGCCATTCAGGCCCAGGTATAGATCTAATTAGCCTAAAGTGTGCACAAAGTGACCATAGAGCGATAAACCAAACCAATATGTAGATCCCGGTCTAATTAACCTTAGAGTGCACAAAAAAATTGTCTATAGAGCAGTAAACAAAAACAAACTTTGCTTGTAACTTTGAGGGCTGAATCGAAGTCTTCCGAGTGAATGTCCAAGGGTACCTGTTCCGTATCTGAGATTACTCTGGACGGTACTAGGGATATTTGTAGTGCATCGCAATCCTCTTTAAACCGTAGATCCCGATTTAATATGACTGTAGAGCGTTGGGAGTACGGCTGGCAACCTACGCACGCAAGGAATGTACCATTAAATTTTACAATTGTGTTATTAAAATAAATTTTAAGCATTTTATGGCAATTTATTTACCTGGCAACTTTTTGGACTTCAAAATAAATAAATAAATAAAGTAAATCTCGCGGGAACCACCTTTCCGTCATTTTTTTTATCGTTCTGGCAGTTAGTTGAAGTCCGCAACCGCATCATTTGTCTTCTGATCGAAAAAAGGAAGTAAAAAACATTCCAAAAGTCCTCCCTTTTTTCTTCTATCCCATCCTTCCTACTCCATCCCCCCTTGGCGCCATGTCTCCAGGATTTCGGCATTTAATTCTTCCGATGTTTCTTCTTTGTCAGTGTTTTTTTATATATTTATTTTTCACTATCATTTTGGAAGGACACCGTCTTTTCACTTCTTTTGTCTTACGAGGTATCGGACATCTTTGACAACTTTGTTGTTCGCCGGCCAAGAATTCTTAGCATAGTTTTTCGAACGAACTGCCCATGTACTGCGGTGTCTTAATTGGAAAAAAGCACTTTTTAATTATCGTCATTGAACAGAATTGCTTTTCGGGGGTGTTGACAGGTATTAACAGCCCTTTTTTTTATTGGCACGGTTAATCCTTTGAGTTTAAAGAAAAAGATCATTAAATTAAAGCGATAAAAGATTTTTATTGGATTTGTTCTATGGATATTTGATGTCTGGATTTTAATAATCGTGTGAAAAAATTTTTTTTTTCATGGGATGTTTTTTTTTTTTTTGAAGATTTCGGTGAGTTTGTAATGGTAAACAGAATGCTTTGAACATCTGCGCGCTTCAAGCAATTTGATAGGTTTAGGAGAAAATAATGACAAGCTTTCTGCCAATATTATTTACTTTTTTTTTTTAGTGCATATTTACTTACCAAACATTTATTTAATGGATATATAAATATTTTTTAGTGTTTTGTTGTTAGAAGTGTTTATTAATAAAATTTGCAACATTTGTTTTTTAATACTTTATGAATTTAAGAAAAGTGCAAAAACACGTAAATTTAACGTATTTTTTTCTTAATACTATTTATTTTATTGTGCAATATTTTAGACTATACGTCCTTGATGAAATATAAATAATATTAATGATTAGGTAAATTCAAAATATATAAAAAAAAAATTTCTCATTTCATCCAAATTGTTATGACAAATAATCCGAATCTTATTTCTATTTTTTGATTTATGACAGTCTCGAAATATATTAATCTGATATCTAATCCAAGACAGATAGCCATATGACGTAAATAGGCAAAAAGCTTTTTTAAAGAAATGAAGATTTTTCGGTACCTAATTATTAAACAGGGCCTGAATGGCCGAGTGGCGAGCGCTCTGGCGCTCGGGACCACAGGTTTCGGGTTCGAGTCCTGGCTTGCCCATGGGTGTTTGTAGTGGTTCGGAATCCCCTTTAAACTGTAGGTCCCGGTCGTAACAGGATCGTAGAGCGTTGCGGGGGCATTGTGACTCCGCGTCCGTGGCTTATCTTCAAGTTACACGCGCTCCCTGGGTAATGCAAAGGGAGTAACGTCTGTGCAGCGCTTGCCTTAAGGCATCCAAGACGTCTATGTCTGTTTGCCAGCTGGATTGAAAAAAAAAATATTAAAAACCTCCACCTAGCACTTGATTGCTGTCATTGCCATTCGCGAATGTCCCAGCAGAAATTTTTTAACAGGAAATGTTTGAGTGATGTAGGCCATTGGTGAATTTCAACAAAGTTTTCTTTTAGGCGGAGATTGTTCAGTAGAAAATATTCGAATGCCAACCCAGTTTGGATTCGGACAGAAAAATGTTTAACAGGAAATGTTTGAATGCCGCAAGCCATTGGTGAACGTCAACGAAGTTTCGTTTCAGAGGAATATCGTTCAGTAGAAAATATTCAAATACCATTGAAATTGAGGATATCAATGTTTTGATTCGGACGAAAAAAATACTGAGTAGAAAGTATTCGTTGTAGAAAATGTTCGAATGCCAAGTTTTGTTACTGGGAGGAAAAATGTTTAACAAAATATATTCGAAAGCTCTTATTACTGGCGAATGTCAACCAAGTTTTGTTTCGAGTGGAAAATGTTGAACAAAAAACATTCAAAATGCTAAAATGTTTCCATGCCATTGCCATTAAAAAATGTCTAAATTTTGTTTCGGATGGAAAATTTTGAGCAGAAAATATTGAAATGTAAAAATGTTCGAATGTTGTACGGACAAAAAAATGTTAGTACCAGTGATTACATGTCGACATTAATACGCTCTGAGATTAATGAGTATGAGCAATCAATCGCTTGCATGCAGTTAGTACGCAAGTACTGACTTTTCATACAATCTTTAGTTTAAATTAAATTTCCATCGATTCGATCCAACATATTTCTAAAACTTACTCAATGCTCTTACAGCCACTTTCGAAATGGAAATTCTCGACTTTTAATACGAAAATCCATCCGAACCAATATCTCTGGGAGTGAAGTGCCATTAATTCAGCAACATAAACGAACAACACCTTTTGTCAATTCAAATTCCCTCTCTCGACATGAACGGGCGACCTTCTTTCTCCCCCGTCAGAGGCTGGCTTAATGACGGATGCTGTCGTTCTAACTTCTCGCACTTGCTGCAAGACTCGCTCCTCCGTGAGAACTTCTCGCGAAAGGGAGAATTTTTGCATAAAATTGTTTTAATTCCGGCCCGAAATGGGCTGTTTGACATGCCACTCTGAATTCAGATTGCGATTTCAGCTGCTCGGGAATATCCGGGCATCTTTTGATTTAGGGGGATGACGGCACGTCTTAAAAATGAGAAATGTTGATGTGCCATGTCTTTCCGGGTTATTGGAAAGAATCGGGTGTGATGGAAAGTTTCGGTGCGGTGGATGCACTGCGTTTTAACTTTGCAGAAATAAGTGAGTGGATGAATAGATAGGGAACTTGACGAGATAACTTTTAGAAATCTTTTTTTTCATCGTTATAATAGAAAGAGTAAACAAGACATCTTTTTTTTTAAATTTTGATAGCTCAATTTAATTTTGATTATGCAACTCATACATTTGCCAGACGTATTACTTAATGTACTTTAGGGAATTCTGTTTATACAAATATATGAAAGAGAACTTTTTGATAGATGATGCCAAGTTCATAAAAATCTTATTGACAAGGCTCTTTTAGGTTGGTTCATTTGCATATATTTGTTTTTAAAAACCTTCAATTCATATTTCAGGATTTAGCTAAAAGTGCAGTTCGTGCTGTATTTCTCACGATAACATGCCCAAAATATATATACATATGTATATATAATATGCGATGATATATAAGAGGAATGTATTATGTATATAATTTTCCGCCATTAAAAGGTAAATGGTAGAGAGTAGAAACAAATTCCCCATTTTCTACTTACCTTTTTTAGCATATTTTATATAATCATTAATTTGAATACACAAACGAAACAAATTAAGTAAACTATTTTATCTTATGGCTAGAAATCAAAAATTATTTTTATTCAAAATAAGCATAAATAAAAATAAAAAATAAAATAAGGACAATATAAACAAATTTCAAGAAGTCAGAATGCAGAGTACACATAAAATAACAAATTCCATCGCGGTTATCACCAGAACATAATAATAACAGGAAAAGAAAAAAACCTTTAAAAAGCAGATAATTTTATTTATAAATAAATAAATCCCATTAGTAAGAGGTGCTCTCTACTCTAAATTTTTGTTTTTCCAACGTACTAATAGGAGATCCACGAAATCTAAGTCCAAATAAAAAGAGACACCACAACACACATGTCGGTTAACAAGAAGTTTATAAAAAACAAGCAAAAAGCAATCAAGGCTTATGAGAAAAAGAAAAACATTGACTTTCTTTCTTTTTTCTTTCAAAAGAGAAAGAACAGAGAGATTTTATTTGTCTCAAATAAAGTCCCAGAAATTGAGTCTGCCCCAAAGAAACGCTTGCACTGGGTATGGGGGTCTTTAAACTGAAATATATGCCAGTTCTGCAATAATGACGTTCAATTGGCAAATACTGCAGCACAGAGAGCGGGCTTCGTATTTGACCGCAAACAGGGGCAGAAATGGAAGAAGATTCTTCTGCGCCCGCTTTGTCACGCGCGAAGATTCATGCGGTGCTGTTTATTCCGCGGGTGTTTAAATTCATACATTTTTAGGGAATTCCGTAGGAAAAAGGGATTGTTTTATGCATGATTTATTTTGTTTCATTTATGAGGGGTGGGGGTGGGGGGTATAAAGTTTTTCGATTCTTATTACTGAATTTGGCACTGCGCATTTTATCGGTAAGTATTTAAATTTATTCATTATTAAGAATTTTCTGGAAAAAGGATTCTACAACTTTGTCTGTTTTATTTGTTAAAACAAAAGATTTTTTTTTTCAATTTCAGAGTTTGATCATATATTTCTTTCTTTCGTTTAAATATTTTTTAAAGTGCTATTGATGTGCATTAAAATTATGTATTCGAATTAAATACATAGATTTGTTAATAGTCTTCATCATTGGCACAACAGCCCCAAGGTGTGCAAAAAGCCAGTCTGCCTACTGGTAGATTTCGAGATAGAAGATGTTTACTTTCTACGGTATTCTTTTTCAGCCGTACGTTCAACCAGCCAACGGCCGTACCATGCTGAATATACCGGTTCTCGTTAGATCACCGAAGTTAAGCATCATTGGGCGCGGTCAGTACTTGGGTGGGTCAGTACTGCGTGCCGTTGGCAAATTTGGGACCTGAATGGCCGAGTGTCTAGCGCTCGGTGCCACAGGTTTCGGGTTCGAATCCCGGCGGTGCCATGGATGTTTGTAGTGGTTCGGAATCCACTTTAAGCCGTAGGTCCCGGTCTCCTATGTCTGTAAGAGCGTCACGGAGCTACCTACGGGTGCTCCATCACAACAGAAGCTGCTTCCTTCCCCTTCAATCATGAGTACGTATGGGCTCGTGGGCTTGGCCAGCCAAGTGGGATAAGAAACAACAACAAACAACGTTCAACCATCCTATTATACAAGTACCTAAGATTTAAAGTGAATTCCAAACCACTACACTCATCCAACCCACCGCCAGGACTAGAGCCCGAAACCTGTGACATCGAGCACTAGTCACTCGACCATCATGCCCCCATATAAATATTTTTCAATTTCCTAGATACCCTTTTTCAGCTTATTTTTAATGATCCTTAATTTGAACACAAAAGAAACAATTTGTTTCTTTTATATACAAATTAAGGATTAAGCATTCAAATTAGAAAGCTATTTTTTATGTCTGTATTTTTATTCAAAATATGCATAAAGAAAAAAAGTGATGATAATATAAACAAATTTCAAGAAGTCAAAATAAAGAATACACATAATAATAATAAATAAAATCCTTAAAAATCAAACAGAATTTTATTTATAAGTAAATAAATCCCATTAGAAGAGGTGTTCTCTACTATATATTTTTGTTTTTCCAACGTACTAATAGGAGGATCCACGAAATATAAGTCCCCCCCTCCCCCACAAATAAAAAGAGACACCACAACCCACATGTCGGTTAACAAGAAGTTTATAAAAAGCAATCAAGACTTATGAAGAAAAGAAAAACATTGACTTTCTTTCTTTTTAGGAGAAAGAGAGGGAATTTTATTTTGTCTCAAATAAGTCCCAGAAATTGAGTCTGCACTCCAAAAAAAAAAGCCTGCAATGGGTATGGGGGTCTTTAAATTGAAATGTATGTCAGTACTGCAATAATGACGTTAAATTGGCAAATACTGCAGCACAAAGTATTTGACCGCAAACAGGGGCAGGAGGGATTTTTGCAGAAATGGAAAGAAGATTCTTCTGCGCTCTCTTTGTCACGCGCAGAAGATTCATACGGTGCTTTATATTCCGCGGGTATTGAAATTTATACATTTTTAGGGAATTCCGTAGAAAAAGGGATTGTTTTATGCATGATTTATTTTGTTTCATTTATGAGGGGTTGGGGGGTGGGGGTGGGGTATAAAGTTTTTCGATTCTTATTATAGAATTTGGCACTGCGCATTTTATCGGTAAGTATTTAAATTTATTCATTCTTCAGAATTTTCTGGAAAAAGGATTCTACAACTTTGTCTGTTTTATTTGTTAAAAAGATACGTTTTTTTTTTAAATGTCAGAGTTGATAATATATTTCTTTTTTTCTTCATGCTGTTTCAATATTTTTTTATCGATATTCATTAAAACTCTGTAATTGAATAAAATACATGTATACCCCTGAAAAATATGTTAAGATATGCAATCCTGACAATTATATTTTATAAGATTTGGCATTATCTATCAAAATGTTGTCTTTCATATATTTGTATAAACAGAATTGAAAACAGTGCTTTAAGTAATATATCTCGCAAATACGTGAGCTGCATAATCAAAATTAAATTCAGCAATCAAAATTTATAAAAAAAGTTCATTTATTCTTTCTATTATAACGCTGCCGCGAAAAAGATTTCTAGAACTTTTCTCGTCAAGTTCCTATCTATTCACTCACTTATTCCTGCAAAGTTAAAATGCAGTGCATCCGCTGCACCGAAACTTTCCATCACACCCGATTCTTCCCAATAACCCGGAAAGACATGCCGAATCAACATTTCTCATTTTTAAGACGCGCCGTCATCGCCCTAAATCAAAAGATGCCCAAGCAGCGAAATCGCAATCTGAATTCCGAGGGGCGTGTCAAACAGCCCATTTCGGGTCGGAATTAAAACAATTTTATGCAAAAATTCTCCCTTTCGCGAAAAGTTCTCACGAAGGAGCGAGTCTTGCAGCAAGTGCGAGAAGTTAGAACGACAGCATCCGTCATTAAGCCGGCCTCTGACGAGGGAAAAAGAAGGTCGCCCGTTCATGTTGAGAGGGGGAATTTGAATTGATAAAAGGTGTTCGTTTATGTTGCTGAATTAATGGCACTTCACTCCCAGAGATATTGGTTCGGATGGATTTTCGTATTAAAAGTCGAGGATTTCCATTTCGAAAGTGGATGTAAGAGCATGGAGTTAAGTTTTAGAAATGTGTTGGATCGAATGGATGGAAATTTAATTTAAACTAAAGATTGTAGTAAAATTCAGTACTTGCATACTGACTGCATGCAAGCGATTGATTGCTCGTACTCATTAATCTCAGGGAGTATTGATGTCGATGAGTGATCCTGGTATTAACATTTTCTGTCCATTTTATATCTCGAATATTTTCTGTTAAACATTTTCCATCCGAAACAAAATTTAGTTGACATTTTTTAATGGCAATGCCATGGAAACATTTTAGCATTTTGAATGTTGAAAATTCTTAATAACAATGACATTCAAACATTGTTAATGCTTTCTGTTCAATATTTTCCACTGAAGGCAAAAACTTGATTGACATTCTCCTATAATAATGGCATTCAAATATTTTGTGCTAAAAGTTTTTCATCGCGAAACAAAACTTGATTGGCATTCGACAAAGACAATTGCATTCGAATATTTTCTACAACAAGTACTTTCTACTCAACAATTTTTCGACCGAATCCGAACTGTTGACATTCATCTATGACATTCAAACATCTTATACTGAACCATCTCCGCCTTAAACAAAACTTCGTTGACATTCACTAATGGCTTGCGTTTGAACGTTTCCTGTTAAAATATTCCGTCCGAATCCAAACTTGGTTGATGTTCATCAATGACAATGGCATTCAAACACTTTTTGCTGAACATTTGCCGTATCACAACATTGATATTCATGACTGGTAAAGGCAATGTCATTTGAATGACGCAATATCAATGAATATGCAATGACATTTGACAATTTTCTACTGAATAATCTCCACCTGAAATGAAACTTTGTTGACATTCACCGGCTTGCGGCATTTCAACATTTTATATTAAGCATTCTCTGCTCGAAACAAAACTTGTTTGACATTCGCCAATGGCAATGATAGCGATCAATTGCTGGCGGACGTTTTTAATACTTAGGTACCGAAAAATCTTCATTTCTTAAAAGACCTTCTCCCCTATTTACGCCAAATATCTAACTCAGATTAATATATTTCGTCGCAGTTATAAATAAAAAAAATATTTCACAACTTTAAGGTGTTTTCGAATACCTCGGATTATTCGCCATAACAAGTGTAAAAAATATTTATATATTTTGAATTTACGTAATCATTATTATCACTTATACTTTATTAAGGACATATAGTCTAAATACAGAATAAAATGTAAATAGTATTAGGAAAAAATGTTGCAGATTTTATTAATAAAAACTATTAACAACAAAACACTCAAAATATTTATATCGAGAACATAAATATTTAGTAAATAAATATTCCTTAAAAAAAGAACATATTCTAATATTGGGCGTAAGGTTGTCATTATTTCTTCCTAAACCTATCAAATTGCTTGAGCACGCAGATGTTCAAAACATTTTGCTTACCATTACAAACTCACCGAACACTTTAAAAAAATTATTCCATGAAAAAAAAAAAATCCTCCGCGATTATTAAAATCCATACATCAAACATCCATAGAACAAATCCAATAAAAATATTTTATCGCTTTAATTTAATGATCGTTTTCTTTTTAAAAAAAGTAAACACAAAGGATTAACCGTGCCAAAAAAAAAAATGAGCGGTTAATACCTGTCAACACCTCTGAAAAGCAATTCAGTTAAATGACGATAATTAAAAACTGCTTTTTTTTCCAATTAAGATGCCGCAGTACTACATGGGGCAGTTTCGTCGAAAAACTATGCTAAGAATTCTTGGTCGGCGAACAACGAAGTTGTCAAAGATGTCCGATACCTCAAAGACAAAAGAAGTGAAAAGACTGCGTCCTTCCAAAGTAATAGTGAAAAAATAAATAAAAAAAAACAGTAACAGAAGAGAAACAGCGGAAGAATTAAATGCTGAAATCCTGGAGACATGGCGCCCAAAGTAGAAAAGGATGGAATAGAAGAAAAAAGGGAGGACTTATGGAATGTTTTTTACTTCCTTTTTCGATCAGAAGACAAATGATGCGGTTGCGGCCTTCAGCTAACTGCCAGAACGATAAAAAAAATGACGAAAAGGTGGTTCCCGCGAGATTTACTTTATTTATTTTATTATTTTTAACAAAAGTCCAAAAAAGTGCTAGATAAATAAATTGCTGCAAAATGTATAAAATCTATTTTAATACTACAAATGAAAATTTAATGGTACATTTCTTGCATGACAAAAGTACATGAAAATATGTGTTTAAAAAGCTAACTATTATTGAAATCTTCTTCTATGGCGCAACAACTCCATGGAGGGTCGAGGCAGTCTGTATACAGGCAGATTTCGAGACAGGAGGTGTTATCTTTTAAAAACAAAGGCATTTTAAAGTATGCAACACTGTCAATTATATTTAATGACATTTTGCATCATCCATCGAAAGGGTTTTTTTTTTCAGATATTTGTTTAAACAGATTTCCATAGAGTGCATTAAGTGACTATATAATGCACTTTATGGGAATTACGGCAAATCATTAGCTGTATATTCAAAATTAAATTGACCTAACAAAACGAAAAAAAATTGTCTTGTTTACTCTTTATACTATAACGATGTCGCGAAAAAGATTTCTAAAACTTCTCTCGCCACGTCCCTATATATTCATCCACTCACTTATTCCAGCAAAGTTAAAACGCAGTGCATTCACTGCACCGAAACTTTCCATCACACCAGATTCTTCCCAATAACCC